GTCATTGTGAACCATGTGTACGTGTGATGTGTCGTGTATTTTTGCCAGTTCAAACTAGATGGCCTTCTTGAATCACTGGCCTACCTGAACTTCCATCCGAGATAATGCATCTTACTTTTTTATCGTTGTTGTTATAGTCATTCAGTTGCATCTCTAGGTTACCAAATGTACTCATGCACATTTTTAATTGGTTCGCAACTTAACGCTGCTCATTTCTACAGGACCGAAGAAATTTACCATAAAAGAATATTTTATTCTTCAGATCGAACAGCATCGCGTCATATGAGGTTCTGCAGATAGCTGTTTTACTTGAAACTCCTGGATGAAGAGATAATAGTATGCAACATTCTAAGCTGACAATTGTGCTTGTTGTGTAAAATTATTGTGCAGAGTGAAGCTATTATTATTATGTCTATACATAATGGAGAAGATTTGTAGCTCAGTTAGATGACTTTAATTTAATCGTGTTCTCTAAGCTGGTTGATTTAATTGCAAACCTGATTGATAGAATTCAGTCTGCACTAAACAAAGAACTAGACACATCACACTAGTTACTAGTGTCCAATGAAAATAATTGCTAAGCTTTTGTTGTGCTTTCAGACACATCTTCAGCGCAGGCCTTATTATGAAGTGAATTTAATCGAATTCTACGTGAATGGTATTTCGTTTTGTAACATTTATTTCCCGATGTGAATTTGAAACAAGCAACAAAAGTTGAGAAAATTATCTTTTATCAATACCATTATCTTAACTCTTTTCAACATTATTATTAATGTTATCGTTACTATTATTAGCATTACTATTAACATCAATATTATTTAGTTGGAAATTCTTAATATCTTATCAGTCTTATTTGTCCCAATGCAATTCTAGTGATGTATATTTACATATCCCTGTATACGGAATATCTCGCTGAAGACTCCTCCCAAAATTTGATGAATTCATTAAATCCTGCCTTACTAACTTTTGTTGTTTATTTGTTTGTCCTGACAACCGCCGTCGTGACTGGTTGTTAATTTACTTTTCTATTGATCACTTTTAGCGACTTCGTATTTGAACTTCCTTGTCATGTGATTTATTTTTTATTAGTTGGCAAATCTGAGCGATAGTAATGTCTTTGTTAATTACTGATTCATCTGAAAATCAGGCTTCTAGAAATTCCCTGGCATTCTTGGTATTTCGTTTCTTCAAGATTTCTACATTATGCCAATCAAATTGGTGTCCGTAGTTATCTACATGCATCGATACGAAGGAATACATATCGTGCCTTTTCACAGCTAATTTACGTTCCTGGATTCGGACACGAATGGGACGCCCACTTTGACTGACGTAATGTTTATTGCAGTTCATACAGTTTATTTTGTAAGTGGTGTCGACCTTATCTTCTTTTCCTGTTGTATCTTTAGGTTTGCATAATATCGAATACAGTGATTGTGTCGGCTTGTGTGCCATGTTTATTTCAAACGGTCTTAGTATTCTAGCCGTTATTTCAGAGATGTTTCTTATATATGACAGAGCGAACTTTCTTGTGGTCTTTGATGATGGTTTTTTGTTGGTTTTGTGACTTGAGTATAAACACGTTTTGATGAAATCCGATGGCTCTTAATGCTTTTTGAAGACAGTTAGTAGATATTTCTCTTCCATTATTTTCGCCTCAGGAGTGCTACATTGTGTCTGGACTCTTTTAAACAATGCACACGCACAGTTCCATTTGTGAGTAACTGGGCTATTACTATTGTAGTTGAATATTAGATCTGTGTATACTTGTGTTTCTAAATTTCCTGTGTTAGTTCCCTTGATTAAGTAAGACATCTGAGAATGGAATTTTGTTTAATTCTTCTCTTGTGAATTTAATGTCTCCAAATATGTCGGTGGCATAACGGTTAGGACGCTCGCCGACCATGCATATGGTCCGGGGTTCGATACCCGGCCGACGCACTCCTTTACCTCGCTAAGCCAGAAATAATGCTGGTGAAGAGGAAAGGTTGGGCATGGGGCTAGCAACCCCATCCTGTGAAATAAACACTGCCACCGAAACTTCAAACCACTAGCTTGAAGCCCTATGTTCCACTGGGAACGTGAAGGAAAAAAATATGTTGTTTATTAATTTGTGGGTGTATTCTAAATTATTTTTTAATTATTACTTACCCAAATTTTTAGTTTAATCATGGGTAGGACTATTAAATCTAATCTTTGCATAACGACATCAGCTATTAATCCGGATTTGGGAGATCCCATTGGTGTTCATTTTATCTGTTCATAAATCTCATTGTTGAATTGCAAATATCTTGTAAGACATAGTACTTTGAGTTCCATTCAGGTTGAACTTTGTCATTTCATATTTTCATCGCTACAGAGTAGTTGTTGCATAATTTCTTTTGGACCAATTGAAGTATATAATGCTGTGACATCAAAAGACACCATTATTTCATTGTCATCCACTTGAATGTTTCGATTTTCTCTACAAATTGAAATGGCGGATTTATAAAATGGTCGCATGATACTGTTAGGTATTTAAATTTTCTGAATAGTTCTTTAGATAGATTATATGTCGGTGTTTCTGGCAGCGAAATGATTGGTCGTAAGGGAATGTTTGGTTTGTGTATTTTCGATCTACCGTAAATTCGAGATAAAACTGGTTCGTTAGATTTCATTCGACACTGGCCTCCTGTTGTAATTTGTCTTCATTTTGTTAGTTTATTTAATGTTATCTTGATTGTTACCTAGTTTTTGAATAGGGTTTTTCGTCAATTGTTGATATACACCATTATCTGCTGTCTTCATGTATTCCTCGGTGTACATGAATACTGTTGTTTTCATTTTGTCAACTGTTAGTACAACTGTCTTTTCCATTCATGAGATTCTTCACTGTATTTTGCTTTTGAATCTGAAGTTGCTTATTATGTTTTTCTCTGTTTGATTATGGCTATCATACATTGTTATGCTTTGGGGTTTCTGTAGGAATTGAGTTGATTCTCTGGCGCAATTTTACCATTTTTCATGGCTTAATGCCGGCTAGCATACTGGTGAAACTAGTAAAGAATGCGAAGGAGGAACAGAAAAGCAAAAGATATAGTGATTATTCTGAAATCCAGTGTGGAAATCTGCTGCATCCAAAATGAAGAACAAGAATCGGATTTTCACCAGCTATGTCCAGTCAGTTAGTGCTTCTATGTGGGTCCGAGACTTGGCGAGTCACCAAAACTATTTCCAACATGTTATTGCAGACTTTCATCAACAGCTGCCTTCCTTCGGTACTGAAGATCAGATGGCCAGGAGAGTATAACAACAAGGAACTCTGGGAACGAACCAATGAAGAACCTATTACCCAACAAATATGCCGAAGGAAATAGAGATTGGTTGGGCATACTCTGAAAAGACCGTTGGTTGAAATCATGCACCACGCAAGGCACCAAGTGGAACCCGAGTGGGGAATGGCGAGTTGGGTGTCGAGGTCGACATGGGGGAGGGTTGTGTTAGGGGGAGATTAGAGCTTATGGGCGACCGTGAAACCAAATGAAGAGGACTTCAGAGAGCAGGACAAGATGGAGATGTGCTGCTGAGGCCCCATGTTTCACTTGGGCCAGAGGGAAGTTACAAAGCTGCGTTGATTGATATGACTAGGACATGTGTTGCGAGGCAAAACTTTCCTCGTTGAGCAATGTTATTCAACATAGGAATAGGTTGGGAAAGACGAAGAAGTAGTCAAAGCTAAGCGTGGCATAAATGCATGAAATCTTTGACAGTTGGTTTGAGCTACGTAGGGATGTGTAGACTACCTGGTTGGGGGCGCCGACATTTTATGAACCAGTAACTGGAGACTTGGTGATGTCGCTCAAAATTGTTCTCAGTGGCTGATAGGATCCCACACACTTTGTTATTGTTCAATTATCTTAACGACTGTTAATCTCGCATAAGTGGTATATCATCATTCCCACGCATTTTGTTATTGACGATTACGACCAATTATTTCAAATACTGTTAGCTGTCTCTATTGGTTGTAAAATTGTATAAATACCATTTCCTAAATAAGTTTAGTCGTCGTAGTCGTAGTTGTTGTACTACAATACACAGTCACAGACCAGCTTTTGTCTTTTGATATTTGCGTGGTTCGCTGAATCGGAAGGTACCAGAAGCAGATAGGCATATTAGTCAGGCGCAGACAGAACAAGGCGACAACGTCCCCATCTAATTCCGCTACAGTCACAACAGTGGCACAGATACATACAATCTTTGTGCTTTTCGATATCAATTAAAGTTTTCATTATTCTCCGTGTAATTATTCTTTTTTCCATACATTTCATCCTCTTATATTTCCTCTTTTTCTTCTTTTTTGTACTGTATGGAGCGTGGCAACTGAACTTCTGTGTATGGTTCTGTATTGAAACTCAGTCAGTCAGTGAATTGTTTGTTAAAAGATGTGTAACTATATGAAAAGTACTTAAATTTTTTTACTGTGGCGCTAAATCCAGACAACAGATTCCCTACTGTCAAGCAATTTTGCCGCTCAATAAATTTATGTGAAAAAAAACTTGTTCTATGTGACAGGGTTAGTGGCATTGCCCAACTTTTTATACTTAGGGTTCATATTTATTTGTGCTGTAACATTCAGAATGCTAACAATTAATTCAACGGGCTAAGTTGACAACACGCGTCGGTGGCACAGCGGTAGAGTGCTCGCTAACTATACATGTGGTCCGGAGTTTGATCTCCGTCCGACGCACTCCTTTACCTCGCCAAACCAGTAATAAGACTGGTAAAGAGGAGAGGTTAGGCATGAGGCTAGCAACCCCATTCTGTGAAATAAACACTGCCACCGGAACTTCAAGCCCCTAGCTTGAAGCCCTATGTTCCATTGGGAACGAAAGAAATATTTTTAAAAGTAAGTTGGCAAAAGTAGTGTCAGTAAGTGCTGGAGTGACAACTGCGAATTATTGTTTTTAATATGTCATTATGAAACGCTCGAAAATTCTCATCCATCTCCCTTTTTTCTAAACTAGGAGATTGTAGCCGGTGCTCTAAATAAGGAACCACTTCTTTGGCGAAAACCGAAACCTGAAAGTTTTGAACACTTACGTGAAAAAGTCGTCGCATTCGAATCCGTGTGGCATTCCTTTGATAAGTGGCAGGACAATTATCCAAATAATCTATCAAATGATATAAAAAGCAACTATGGTAATTCTTTATCTAATGATGAACCTGAAGGTCCGGCTCTACCACCGGGATATTAGTTTTGTAATCATGTACATATATATATATATATATATATAATTGATACATACAAAGTAACTTTTGCTACTGAAAATTTGTGTAACAATTACACCTTCGTTACTATGATGCGTGTTTCGTGTGACTGACAGTCTTTGAACATAGATTGTTTTTTGGGACGACCACCTACTGGATTTCGAGTGGATCATAACTCAGCACTGCGTGATTTCAGTTGCGCTTCTTATGTAATTGTTAGATAGTTGGAGGTAATCGGTAAAAAGCGTTTAACATAGGTTTCGTGCTTGTTAGTAAACTTGACTGATGGAATTCAGTCTGCACCAAATGCAGGATTAAACGCATTGCATTAGCTACTACTGAGTGTTCAATCACAGTACATCTTATTTAATATTTCGTCGCTTTGCAAGTAACTTGTTCGTCTTTTATTTTATCTACCCTATCTTCTGGAGTAATTTCTTCCTCATTGTGAAATAGTTTTACTGTTTAAGTTGACAGAGTGATCCAAATTATTGTTCTTTTTTGTGTTTCTGTATGATGTAAATAGTTTCATGGCGGTCAGATCTAGTGTGGGTTTTTTGGTATGAGTTCTTCGGAAAAGTCTAAATTTCAATAATGTCGACTATGTAAATTTTCTGCATTTCATACGGTCTCTGTTGTATTAGCAAGAGTACACATTTGTGAAGGTCAAATCTTTTTCAATAATTCGTATATTACATCAATGATTTTTTCAAAAAAGTTAGTGAGATCACTAGACGGAGATTTATTTCTTCAGCGCTCTCTAAGGCTATTTGCATACACTCAGCTAAGCGGTTACTTCATTGAGTTATTTCCCTTGTTAAACTTGAGAATAGCCAAGAGATGTACAGGGTAAGATGATGTCATCATTTTTTATCAGTAAAGAACCAATGAAACATGACATCATTTTATACTGTTCAATTTGTTCTTCTTATTCTATTTATGTGGTAACTGTTGTAGAATCGGTTACTTCGACTAAGAAAGTAATCAGTACTGATATTGTTTGCACAGATAAATACTAAAGCTGGGAATGTATCAAACAGTTATCAAAGTAAAAAGATTATATCAAATTTATGTTAATTATGTGTATGTTATCGTCATACTCATAAGTCTTTCCCTTTATGAAAATCAAGATCAGTCGCAAATGAAATGTAATGGACTTAGATTTTATAGTAACCCCAAGAAGCAGAAACGAAATGTTACTCTATGAACAATTGTTTCTATCCCAGGAACTCGATTCGATTTATTTAAAGATTTCTAAGGAAAACTAAAAAATCCAATGATCACTACATTAAATCGCTAACTCACTTTCTGGAGAAAAAGAAATTCAACAAGATGACTTCGCAGCATTTTATTTGACAAAAGCTAGCAAGAGAAACCATGTAATAACTGGTCAACAATGATGAATACTTCCCATAGCATGATTCATGTTGGATGGAATTCAGAGACTGGTGTCTCACAACCTTCCTCCCTTTATCGGCTTTGCTGCCGGTTAGGAGTGCGTCAGGTGGGGACTGAACCCTGGACCATGTGCTTGATTAATCAATCTATGTATGATGTCGCTGGCAATCGACATTCTTTGAAAATCATTCCACTGAAATTTGAATAATGTTCAAAGTCTTATTCATTAATTTCTCCTGAAAGCTTAACGAGCCACTCATTAACCTAAAAAGCGATCCGTCGCTGTATCAAAGTTTTGTGATATCGTTTCTGTTAGGCAGTGATTTTTAATCAACAATTCTTTTTTTATTGCTTGACCTGATTTTTGTTATAACTTGTCCTAAAGGCCTAAATAGTCCTGAGGTGTGTGTGAAACATTAAGCAGGTCTTTTCAAAAGAATTTACAACGACAGTGGCTAAAACTATTGTCTTCAAAATAATCAGTTTTATTATTTTTTAAAAGGAAGTAACTTCCAGTCAATAACAGAATTTAAAATAAGGATAATAATGTGCTAACGTAGTGACGATATAGAACATTTATAATAAGCATAGACCAAAAAGCTGTTAAATTTGATCTAAGAGTAATGGACAAATACCAGGATGGTATATATAGGATGGAAGAATAAGAGATACAGGGAGAGAGATTCACCGAATAAAGTAAATAATTGGACAACAAAAACGAAATAATTAAAATGTAAAATGTTGAGAAGAAACACATTACAATAGGTACATGTGCATATACGATAGGCAAGCATGCAAATAGAAAATGAGAATATATATATATATAACGTATAATCTGTTATGTTTTCTCTTAAAGTTTTTAAAGTAGTAGATTACAAAATGTGAAAGAATAGATACTGTCATTATTATGTTAAATATATAAAGATATGAACAACAAAGAAAGCAAAAGTATTCATCATTGAAATAGGAAACAATTACAGCACAGCACCTTCAGTTGTGAGAAAATAAGCAAAATATGAATTGAAATAGAAAGTAAAAGAGAGAACAGGAAAGAAAAAATTACAAATGTATGCACCATAAATCATACGTAAGTTAAAAATGTTCTTAAAACAATAGAAAAGCGTATAAAAAGCGATAGAGTTGGACATAACTCTGAAGTAAGTGTGAATACCTACAACACCCACAATAAGGAACAGGATCCGAAGTTATAATATATATATATATATATATATATATATCAGCATACCTGCAGAAATATGTACTGTTAGTCAGATCAATCATGGGTAATCAGCTCCACGTATATATATATATATATATACCACGTGAATAAATGCTATAGACAATGGAGAGACTAGTAGTTAGTAGAGTAAATTCATATATAGCGAGGAATAATTTGTCCTGTCAACAAACGGAATACTGAGGTAGGCATTGTTCTGATGTGTATCTGCGTTGTTTTTTTAAAAAATAAAACGGCAAAAGAAAAAAAAGTATGTATAAGTTATTTGAAAGAAGCCAAATTCTTATAAATATTTGTAGAATATTTGTTATAGAAATCAATATATGCACCTGGGAAATGATTATTCCTGTTAACGTATTTTAAAAAATCCAGAACAACTTATGCAATTATTCCATTGTACAAAAGAGACACTTATCACCAATGATATTCTTGATTTTAGTGGAATAAACTATGCGCCTTACTGTGGGAAGTGGTAATACGGACATATCCTAGAATGTCTGGATCTCATAGATGATTGATGTCTCACTAATTTGATTCACAAGCAGGAATCGAGAAGTTAGCAGAGGAGACAGCGAAGATTAGGCACGGTTGTGGATATCAAATCCAGCGAGAATCGGAAAGGTAAGACTGGCTTTCATAACTCTGAAATAAGTGTGGGTATCTACAACACCCACAATAAGGAAAAAGATCCGAAGTTTTAACAGTAATCTCAAATCAGTGATTTTTTCTGTGTGGTTCAGAGACTTAGTGCAGTCGTTACGAAAGGCATTTCTAACACGTTAATGAATACTTTCGTGAAGACCTGAAATTCGCACAATTCTCATGATGGGTCGGGATATAAGCAACAAGGAAGTTCGGCGACGAACCAACAAATATGCAAAAGGAGATGGATTGAGTAGACCTTAGAATGATAACACATGCCATGTTCCAGAATGGAACTCGAATGGGAAGCGATGGGTTGGACATGGAGGGAGGCATGCTGAAAGGAAAGTCGTGGGACCAGATGAAAATGATAGCAACGAAAACAATACGGTGCTGATGGAAGGAACGAATAATAGTAATAGAATAAACATTAAGTGAAAAGAATAGAATGCCAGCTTCAAAACATAGCAAAGAATTTTTTGGAAATAAACACTAACAAGGTGAATTAAGTTATGCTGGCCGTGAATAGTAGAATACGATACAGCGGTTTTTACAACACTTTAAGGTTTCACACCTACAAATATTTTACGTCAGTTTGAGCATCATTATCAAAAAGACTTCATTTAACCCTTCATAATTTATCCAAATACGCACTATATACATATATGCATACGCTACACCTTATACTACACGATTAGATAACGAATATTTATCAACTGTTAAAATACAACATTGAATTTATAGAGGGTAGGCTTTTAATACGCGTTAACTACTAGTAGTACATGAATTAAAGAAATGCAATGTTGAACTCATACTACCAATATTCAGTGTATGCAACTAAGCAATTCACACCAATATGGTGTGAATTGATCGTAAGCGAAACACACTTAATGTCGAAATGCAATATGTTAGTGACATCATAAAAGTTAATCTACAAGTCTGTAGACCACATATCTAATGGACATACACAATATTTAGTATGAAAAAATATCAACCAAATAAATTCAAACACGTATTACGATACAAAATCTTCAGATTAAATTCATACAGAACTAAACTTAGCAACAAAATACTCGAGACAGAAAAAAACATTTCACGTGAGTAGGTCTTTATTATTGTGTTCTAGACGAATGGTTTGTAAGGATTAGTTATGTTTTACGAGTTGATCACGGACTGATATCAGTTAGAGGACCATTGAAAACCAGGGAGTACTGGACAGCTGCTGTTTCATCCTAGTTTGGGAATCATCGGCAGTACGGACCAACTGGGATTCGAACCCAGGACCTTCCGGTTACAAGGCAAGTTAGAATTCATGAGCCATTGAATCGGGTCCCAGTGGCTGAATGGTATACGAGCTTGCCTTGTAACCGGAAGGTCCTGGGTTCGAATCCCAGTGGGTCCGTACTGCCGATGATTTCCAAACTAGGATGAAACAGCAGCTGTCCAGTACTCCCTGGTTTTCAATGGTTCTCTAACTGATATCAGTCCGTGATCAACTCGTAGAATGAATAACTGATATTTAAGTAAATATAATCACTGTTTATTGGTTTCAGAGACCTAGCGCGTTACTAAAACCAACAGGCTATTATAGACTTTTATCGATAGCAGATTTCGCTACATACTGAAGATCAGATGACGGGAAAAGTTAAGCAACAAGGAACTCTGAGAATGAACCAACCAAGAACCTGCTGCCCAACAAATATGCGGAAA